ATCCTACGTAAAAAAAATAAAATATTTTTCTAATATTTATATAGTGAACTTTAAAAAGTATTAATAACCAACTAAAAAAATATTAAAAAAAAGGGTATAGGAGAAAAACTACATTTAAAAAGAAAAGAAAAGAAAACATTGGATCTCGTATGGATTTACTCGGGTTATGAGTCAACCTGCTAGGTCATTGCATCAGTTGATCTTTTGACAAACCTTGACTAGTCCAGCCATCAGGTTTACCTATCGAGTCTATCCGGGTTTAATAACTATGCTCCAAACCCAAGTTGCTTGGACTGGCAGGGGTGTTTGACTCAAGTAATTTGGGTCTTGTAATCTTGTCTGATCCAAGGCTCTAGAATCCAGCATTAAGATTCATAAATAATACATTTGCTCCTAATGCTATTAGGTTAGGCATAGAACTGAGTTTTTTTAAGTCCAGCATCAAGACCTAATATTCTTGGATGTTAGATTTGTAAATATAATTACTTTTATTATAGTTAAAATTATTAATATAATAATTATTGAATTTAAAAAAATATTATTAATATTAAAAAATAAAAATAAATTTAATGTGAAGGGTAAAATTAAAAATTATTATTATTAAATTTTAAAAAACTAACCATGTTTTTTAAAAGTTTAAAAAATATAAAAATTTGAGCTAATAGATTAAATATTATTGTTAATATTATAAATTTGTTGTTGGATCTGGTATTGCAGTTAGATATTCCTTAGTCTTAGATTTTTTAAATATTTTTTATATAAGTAAAAAATAAATCAACAACTGCCATGAATCATGTAATTAGTATAATCTAATTTTTTTGGTCAACCTCTTTTGTGTTTCAATTTTACCTCGATCACCTGGAAAAAGGCTTTTTACATGTTTTCAAAGAACTTGATAATATATGGAGTTCATAAGGCGGGCAATAATTACTTCACTTAAGAAATCATATAAAAAAAACCTAAACTCTAAACATATTACGTTGAAAACACTTATCAGGGCACTTGATAATCTATGTTGGGGATGCATCTGGGTTGAAAATTAATTATTATTTTTGGATGATTTGATACGGGTGTCAAGATTTTGAAAAGATATTAAATTAATTGTTATTTTATTATAATTTTAAATTATTTTAATATACTAATATTAAAAATAAAATTTAAAAATAAATATTATTTTAATATATTTTTCCAGACGCATAAAAGTTGAAGCTGTGAAAATATTCTTCTAACAGTATACCTACAAAATTCATAACATTCATTCATTAAAAACTTGATTTGCAACCAACAACAACACAATCAATAAAAATTAAATTAGAGATATCTAATTATGAATCCCTTTTGCTTTTATTTTAATTTAAATTTAAATATGATCTTTAACACCCAAGTAAGTCCTAGTTTCCAGGTTACAAATTTTAAGTAATCTGTGAAACATTAATATATACGTATTATAAACCTTTTCAAAACACATACATGGGGGACGGCAACGAGTATCCCCACAAGTCAGGTTTTGGATATTTATTTTATATTTATTGAATTTTAAGTATTTATTATTCAATTATTATTTAATATTCATAAAAAATTATATATATTTGAAGTATATAAAATAATAAATAAGATGTCATTTTATACGTGTTAATATTGTAATATAAACACATCTCACTCGAGAGTAACCAGAATTCCATTCTCAAACTTTCACTGAGCAAAATTAACCATCTGTTAAATCACAAATTTTACTTGGTTACTGTGAAAAATATTTCTTCCAACGATAGAATGAGTAATGCGACTGAGAACTCGGACACTAGGCAACTTTCATGTGCTTAGGTTTAGAAGTATCTTTTTTCCAACAATATAATGGTTCCCAGGTGTCCATGGCAACCGACTAAGTTTTGCAAAAGGTTGAAGAAATGATCAAAAGTTGAAAGGTGCATCTGCAGTTCGTAAATTGAACAAGAAAGTTTACCTAGTTCAGTACCCAATTTCACAACAAATATAGTACCCAATTACAGCAAAAGATGACAACTATATATTTAATTGATCCCTAGCTGCAAATTCATTGATAGCAAAAAGACGAAAAGAAACCAGCAACTGGAAGTTGAGGTTGACAAGAACATCTACTGATAATCTCCCTGGTATTCTCCTTCTTCCTCATCATCATATTCTCCTTCCTCATCAGCGGTTGCATCTTGATATTGCTGATACTCGGAAACCAGATCATTCATGTTACTCTCAGCCTCAGTGAACTCCATCTCATCCATTCCTTCTCCTGTGTACCAATGCAAGAAAGCCTTCCTCCTAAACATGGCAGTAAATTGCTCACTAACCCTCCTAAACATCTCTTGAATTGATGTTGAATTGCCAATAAAGGTGGATGCCATAGCAAGACCAGTAGGCGGGATATCGCACACAGTTGATTTCACATTGTTTGGAATCCACTCAACAAAGTAGGAAGAGTTCTTGTTCTGCACATTCAGCATCTGCTCATCTACTTCCTTGGTGCTCATCTTGCCACGGAACATGGCTGATGCTGTTAGGTAGCGGCCATGACGAGGGTCAGCTGCACACATCATGTTCTTTGAATCCCACATTTGTTGAGTGAGCTCAGGAACTGTCAAAGCTCTGTACTGTTGCGAACCTCGGGATGTGAGTGGAGCAAAACCCACCATGAAAAAGTGCAGACGAGGGAATGGTATCAAGTTCACTGCAAGTTTTCTCAGATCAGAGTTCAACTGACCAGGGAACCTCAAGCAGCATGTAACCCCAGACATTGTTGCCGATATCAGATGATTCAAGTCACCGACTATCACCAAAACGGAAAAAAAAACATGTTCAGTACTAATGTAAGATAGCATGAGGAAGTAACTTGTCCAAGACATTTCAACCCGACACAAATTTCTCAGTCATCCGTGATGAACAACCAACACTTGACAACACGAACACAACATTAAGTAATTCAATCATTTAACATGCTTAGTAACCACAATCAACAAAGCAATAGTATATTAAAACATGAATAAAACAAACCTAATGCATAACTAAGGGCATAGAATGTAGAACTTACAACTAGGAGTGGTGAGTTTGAGAGTCCTGAAACAGATATCATACAAGGCTTCATTATCGAGAACCATACACTCATCAGCATTCTCAACAAGCTGGTGTACAGACAGAGTAGCATTGTACGGCTCCACAACTGTATCAGACACCTTTGGAGAAGGAAACACAGAGAATGTCAACATCATTCTATCTGGGTATTCTTCTCTAATCTTCGATATCAAAAGCGTTCCCATTCCAGACCCAGTTCCACCTCCAAGTGAATGACACACTTGGAAACCTACACATCAAAAATTAAAATAAAAGCAATTAAAATCTCATAAAAAAATTAAAAAAAACAATTGTTATTTAATTTGTTAAATATAAGATGACAGTACCTTGCAAGCAGTCACAATTTTCGGCTTCTTTTCGAACAACATCGAGGACAGAATCGATGAGTTCAGCGCCTTCGGTGTAATGACCTTTAGCCCAGTTGTTTCCAGCACCGGATTGGCCGAAAACGAAGTTGTCAGGTCTGAAGATCTGACCATAAGGGCCAGATCTGAGGCTGTCCATGGTTCCAGGCTCCAAATCCATGAGGACAGCACGAGGGACAAACCTTCCGCAACTAGCTTCATTGTAATAGACATTGATTCTTTCAAGTTGGAGAGGGGAGTCGCCGTGGTAACTGCCGGTGGAGTCTATGCCGTGTTCTGCACAAACAACTTCCCAGAACTTGGCTCCGATTTGGTTGCCGCATTGCCCACCTTGAATGTGAAGGATCTCACGCATTTTCGCTTTTGGTTTTTGAAGAAAATGAAAATCAGCAGCAAATAAGAAGGGAGGATTTTGAACTCAAGAGAGAGGATAAGTGGAACGGCCAAATGAAAGATTTTATAGAGGAAAGGAAAAGGGGATTAGGGTTTTGGTTGCTTTTGAAAAATATAT